CGCAAATCACGCTCCTTCGCAGCAGCGTACCGTCATATCAAAACGATCGAGTGAAAATTTGGTTTCGCTTGCACGTCGCATGAACGCTGTTGTCAAAATGTGATTTGCACGGTGCTAAAGTGGGTGCAGTGTCTTAGAAAAGTGCATGGTCGCTTGTCGTTAAGTGTCGTGGTGGAAAAGATATGCCGCACGTACCAATGTGGGTGCATCTACATGAAAGAATGTTGTGGCCACTAAACACAAACAGGGATTATTTAATAATGTGTAATAATTATTGAACTGACTCTCTTCCAACATATTATTACATGAATTATTCAGGGTGCTTGTCACGGATGAAGAGGCTCTATTCACATAAGTTTCAAGTGATCGGAAGTAAACCTAAAAGCGGTTTGTTATCTAAAGGCTCATACATACAACAGAATTGATCCTCATAAGAGACTTCGCGCAAGTCTGCAATTTGCAAATACGCAATATTATCATCTTCGGGTATTTCAGAGGTTACAAACACTCACCTTAAGTGACCGCAGTGCATCCTGCAGGGCCATTGTACCTTCCGATTCTACGGAGGTTCAGAAACTTGGAGAGCATCGAGATTATGCCAACCAACAACACTCAAACCTAAGAAACAAATACGGTCAAAGAAAGATTTCAACAGGACATTACATTCTTCAATGGTCGCTATCAAGTCGCGCTTCCTTGGGAAAAGGTTGGGGACAACTAGATGGTACCGAACGCAAGCAATGAAGCGACTGAATTGTCTGGGAAAAAAAATCAAGAGCAATGCGGAGTTTTCTGTGGAATAGGAGGCTATGACGACTTATTGACAGATAACTACCAAGACGGAAAGTGCTCTCGGCCTCATGCGGAGGATCACCAACAGACACCGGGGAATCAAGGAAGACAATCTCGTCCGCATCATACATGCGTTTGTGCTCTGCCACCTTTCGTACTCGGCGTCTATGCATAATTGGCATGTTGCAGACAGGAGTAAGCTCAATTCCCTCCTAATAAAGGTCTTCAAGCTCGTGCTCAGCTTGCCTGTAAGCACTCGCACTGAAAACCTTTTGAAGCTCAGTGTTTACAATACACACGAAAAGATAATCAAGGCGCAAGAGCGCTCACAGCTGCTCAGGATTTCCAGAACCAAATCAGGCTGCAAGATACTCGGCGATTTGGGCCTCAACTCTATTGACCAGTGCCCCTATTCCATGCAGATTGCAAGAAACATCGGGTCTCAACTGCGCATCGCACCCATTCCCCGCAATATGCACCCTGCGCACAACGTCGGTTGGCGTAGGGCCAGGGGTAGAGCTCTGCTTGAGCACGTCCGTAGCAACCCCACTGATGCAAGCTTTGTGGATGTTGTGCCATATGTCCAACAAGAGGCATTCGCTGTTTCCATCGTCGACTCAAATTCCAGGCTCACTTGCTCCGCCACGGTACGCACATCGAAGCCCGTGATAGCCGAACAGGTTGCAATCGCGCTGGCTATGCTAGATAGTCGCAGAGAGTCAATATACAGTGACTCCAAGGTGGCTATCAAAACCGACGAAACCGAAATGGCAGCCCCTCAGGCCCTCCGCATTCTCCAAAGCGTCAAGAATATCACGCCCTATTTTCTCAATTGGTTTCCCGCTCACCTGTGGTCTATTGAGGGCTCTACCTCCAACCCGAACGAGGACGCACACGAGGCCGCGCGAGGACTCACTGCCCCGCCGCCTCCGCAGTCTCTCTGCCTCGCTGAGAACCTTTACTTACGTTCAATGAAATAACAAAGCACTTCTATCTGTCAAGAAGGATATTCCCTCTCCCCCACCCTGCCTTGTGCAGGGCGCAGACAGTCCCCCTAAGACTATTGCAAGCCAGTGCGTATCCTAACCCTGCGCTTCTTCATGCCATCTACCCTGAACGGTATGCAAGTGCGGATTACCCCGCTTGTGGACTGTTAGCCACATTCAATCATGTGTTGTGTGAATATGAAGCCATCGGCCCCGCCCTCAGCAAGGACAGCTGGGCTGCGCTCTTACGCAGCCCCGAACTTTAGGATCAAACCCTGGCCGTCCTAAGTGCCCGTGAATGGGCCGCCAAGCTCGGCTTGGCGGTCCCTACGTGGGACTAGCCGGGTGGCGCGGGGTCTTCCCAGCATCTTCTCATGAAAAAAATAAAGTTGTAATCAATCATGACGACCTATCCAGCTTCTGTACCTGATGGAACTGTCTTCGATGTAATGAACTCAAAGTGCGCGACTTTGCGGTGGGCGGAGGATATTGAATATTTGTCTTTCCTTGAGAAGATGATGAAGAAGAAGAAGTCGTCAAAAAGAACGCTTGAACTCTCAAGAAAGAAGAGAAAGAAAAAAGCGTCTGCCATGGACTGTCAAACTGCTGTGTGTGAATATTGTAAATATACTCTTGTTTCTTCAATTGCCGTGACCAGTTATTTCACAACCCAGACAGCACTGCGTCTGCCTCTTTTCGTGAGGGAGGGACGCCGGATGCGCTGAAACGCACATGCGTCAAAGCAACGTAGCGCGGTGCGGGCCTATATGGCAGGGGTGGTGCTTGGCGTGGCCTCGCAGGCATGACGCGACGAAACGAACGCCGGGGCGCACGCGCGCCGGGTCACATCGAACTGCACTGGCGCCTTGACTGTGGCATGTAGTCATGTTCTCATATGACCTGAATCTTAATATTAGCATGTTTACACCAGTCACATACCTTTGTCAATCAATTGACATCACGTAATACAAAATTTGGCATATGTTAAGCTAGCGAAACGGCCGCGAGCGCATCATGAGTGTAGCATGTAGTGATGTTGTTACATGACACGCATGTCGTGATTATCATGTTTGGATGTGTCATTCACCTATGTCGTCCGTTCGCGTCACGTATTACGGAATTTGGTACATGTGAAGCAAGCAAAACGGTCGTGAGCACATCATGAGCGTAGCATGTAGTCATGTTGTTACATGACACGCATATAACTTTTATCATGTTTGCACCAGTCTCATACTTTAATCATTCATTAACATCCCGTAATACCAAATTTGGTATAAGTAAAGCTAGCGAAACGGCCGTCAGCGCATAATGAGCGTGGCATATAGCCATGTTGTTACATGACACGCACCTCATGATTATGATGTTTGCACCAGTCAAATACCATCGTCATCCATTCACGTCCCGTAATACCAAATTTGGTATATGTGACTCAAGCGAAATGGCACGAGCACATCATGGGCGTGGCATGTAGTCATGTTGTTACATGTCACACATGTCATTATTTTCATGTTAGGGCCTGTTTCTTGTGTTCACCATGCAGTCATGTCATACCACACCAGTTTTGCAACATGTCATATGAAGAAGACCATCGCAAGAGCAGCAAGACCATTCAAACCCCATTGCACGAATCAACGGCCGTACATCCGCAATGAACGACTCCTTTTTCCTCCAAGCAATAATACTTTGGAATCGCCTTCCCGACACCAATGTTGCCACACCTGACTGCACATCATTCCGCGCAAAATTGGAATCCCCCTTTGATTCCACCCATTAACGCGTGGCTGTAAATATAATCGACCAACGTACTGTATGTATAATTTGCTTGTGCCTAGTTGTTTGTACTCTAATTCCCAGCCAAAGCATTTCTTTTGTGTGTTATTTGATTCGTTTTTGTTGTCATTTTCGACCAAACTACCATATTAGAACTGTACTGTTTATAATAACTTGTTCAACTTGAATTATACATACTCACAGCGTATTTTTTGCCCCCCCCCCCTTATATAATGCCCTCGGGCCTTTAAGGATGCAATAAATGAAATGAAAATGTAATTATGACATTCATGACATACATGTTATGATTTTGATGTGTTATGATTTTGATGCTCGTCATATAGTCATGTTATGCCATACCAAGTTCGGTATTGCCAAACGGCCAGGAGAGCTAAAAGTCGTAAGCGGTAGATAGATAGATAGATAGATAGATAGATAGATAGATAGATAGATAGATAGATAGATAGATAGATAGATAGATAGATAGATAGATAGATAGATAGATAGATAGATAGATAGATAGATAGATAGATAGATAGATAGATAGATAGATAGATAGATAGATAGATAGATAGATAGATAGATAGATAGATAGATAGATAGATAGATAGATAGATAGATAGATAGATAGATAGATAGATAGATAGATAGATAGATAGATAGATAGATAGATAGATAGATAGATAGATAGATAGATAGATAGATAGATAGATAGATAGATAGATAGATAGATAGATAGATACGCTCAATGTCGCCGAAGTCCACTAAGAAATTCTTCGCATTTAAAACGTATCTGCCCCTTATCAAATCAAGACCATGCCGCCACGCATTGATTTATCTCATGGCATTTGCTTCAGCGATACTCATCTGATATAGACTTCACTGCAATAGTACCGTTGTCACTGCACGAGTACCGTTGTCTTGTCCTGTGTTAAGCTTTGGCCTATGCAATCTGCCTAAATCTACGAAGCTGTCACTTAAAGTTTTGCAAAGGTACGGAGGGCGTGGCTGCCAAAGGCCAGGTCCGGCATTGCAAGTGCGCATTTCCTGTCAGGATAACGCTGTCCCCTCCACGAACTCTTGCTCCACGAAGACTGCTAGTGCGTTTACTTTTATGCGAATGCAGCCAGAGGGACGCCCTGCATAAAACGAAGACGGTAACGCCGAAGTGCGCTGGTGGAGCGAGCGTCGTTCGGGCTCTGGTAGGCACTGGTGAACGTGGCAGGCGCGTCAGTCTTGGCATTACTGACGACGGAGACTTTTGGCCATAATATGGAGGCCAGTCTGTCTCCCATACTTTCTACTAGAAACACTATCTTGTGGCAGCGCTCACACGCTTTCACTCGCACATATAGCATATACGATGTGGCGGAGGATGTTATCGATTTGGACTTTATGCGAAACATCACACTGATGCCGACGGTAGCGGCAAACATGCACCTGGAGCTTCAATGTGATGCCATTGAAGAACGTTTATTTCATGCAAAAATTTGACTTGTCTTGTGTGTGATGGAGAATTATGCTCTGAGCCTAGTAATAGTTTACACACAGCCCTTGTCCGTATTGCGGGAAACTATCCGCACCCATTTGGGCTTGGCAAATACATGGTCGGGGGCAAGGCGTTCTAGAGTCGTCATCATTCAGCCGGCACTGTAACCAAAAATACAATCATCAATTATTTTCCTATAATAAAAAAAAACAGTCGTCTAAATGACAATACTATACAGTCTACAGCGCCCTCAAATTTTGTAGTTTGCTCCGCTGCTAAGGTTCCTATAGCTTATGGCATCAACACGGGAGAAGTTTTTAGCCTATTTGTTAGGGAAGTTTTAGGGTGACTTTTAGACGTCGAACATGACAGTCCAGGATGACATGGCGATTCGGCAGCAAGAAATTGTCAGACAAAAGCAGTGGTGCTATAGGAAGCGTCAGTGAACAGCAGCTGTGTCAAAAGAAGGAGCTAATATTAAACACAAAAACCTCTTTTTTATTATAACAAGAAACACATTTACATTACTTTACGTTGGCTTAAAAACATTTGTTTGGACTACCTGGCTCAGTACATAACACCACGCGTCTATGCAACAACTTCCGTAATAATTGCTCGCTGTCACCTCGCATTGTAGAACTTCAGTTACCATTGTATGTTGAAACAACATTGTATTTTGATTCCTTTTGTTTGTGAGACGTGCGGTCTTTGTTCGACGTTCACACTATCATACGTCATACAATGGTTAGCGTTGCGTGTTTTGTTGCTTTCAATTGAACTACGCACATTGTCAAAAGTACAGCACCTGCGAATCATGCGTCGAGAAGACTGCTTCATCGCAGCGGAATGAACGTCTGTGCATTCTCAGCAAACTTTGACATTATTTTGCTGGTTTGTTCAATTTTTGACACTTCATTAGGGTGATATTTATTTGGGCCGCTGAATAGAAATGGCACTCAGTACATGAATTATAATTCTCACATTCATAGGTGTGCGGTTTTCTTCCGCTTGCACTGCCCGTGTGCGTGTTGTGCTTCGTACAGTGATACGAGTGTGTGTTTAGGTCTGCGCTAAAGGCGCGAGCTCGTCGCGCGCCCTTTGTTACATCGGGCCTGAAATCCTGCACCTCTCCCGCTGAGCCACGTTCACTCACCACGCTTTAAGCACCTGTACAGTCGATATTTTCATAAAATGGGAGTGTAAGCACCTCGCGAGAATCGAAAAAAAAAACAAAAAGGAGGCGAGCAGTTCAACGTGCTTCATTGTGGTTAAAGCTAGCTTCCTCGCAGAAAAGGCCACGGGTGATGCTCCAGTGATAGGAGGACATCCCTATCCTCATCATGCTTTTTAGTGCTATGGCCTTGTCATCTTTGTTTCTTTTTTTTTTTTGCATGCCGCGAAAGTTCGTTTACGACAGTATGCGCCTGCTGCTGCTAGTATATACATCAAAACAACAATCATACGTTTTTCATTGCTGACAACGTAAAACATCCATTGCTTGTGTGGCTTCGTTTTGCACTGCAAATAAACCATTAGGTAAGGAAGCTTACATCGACTTAGAAATATACGGTAATGTCGCGGACTTCGGAAATTCATTTCGCGTAAAGTCGAGCGTCATTTTGTCGTCTGATGCACATCCTAAACGTGTATAACAAACCTTCCTGCCTTGATCACTATGGCTTTTCGAAGTGCTGATCCAGCTGGGAGATTTTTTTCAAGCGGTGCAATGAGCAGCGCTGCAAGTGCTGCGCGAATAGAGAGCTGTAGTGGCCACAAGAGTGTCTCGATGCCCGCGCGTGTCATTTCAGAGTGTGGTCATATTTTGAAAGGATCAACGCCACCTCACCACGCACATCCGCCATGTTTTGGCTCACGCTGCGCTTTCTTAAAAGTGTACGCAGTGCCTGTCACCTTGTCACCCGTCTGAACCTTCTCATTCTGCTCCGTCGTTCAGTGAATTGCATCCACTGTTCACCCGTCAACTGGGTTGTGCCACTTTGTGCAGGAAGTCGTTAGTCTCCTAGATGTGTGCTCAGTTCGTGCTGAGCTTCGACATCTTCCTCTTCTGCCCCGTGAGGAAGTTTCTGCAGAACTGCGCCGGGCTCCTGGTTCGCCTGCTCCTGACCATACTTCGAGCCAGTGACCCAAGCTCCGGCTATGCGTCCTAGAACCGGTGATGACTTCCCGGAAATTGTTGCTGCTCTACGTCCGCCGGAGATGAATCTGCCAACCCCCGTTCTGCGCGGGGTAGAGGTGCTTCCGCCGGTCGCATTGGCGCCCACCATGGCCGTTTTTCCTCTCCGCATGGTTCCTGCATCGTTGGCGCCAATCCATCCCCCATCGGAGCCTCATCACTGCCTGCGTGTTCTGGCGCCTACTGTGCCGAAAGTGCCCTGGAAGAAGCTTCCTATTACAAGAGGGTGAGTTTCCCCTCTTGTAAAATACTAAGAAGCAGGGGAGTGCAGTCCTCGTTTCATTTCAAGTTAGCTGGCGTAGTTGAAAGTACACATAAGCAACGATTAAAAGAGAGAGATCGCATAAAGTGCCCGTCTCTTTGTTTTCTAGCTCAGTTAGTGCGTCAAACAAAAGCATTAGCTATTACGCTGTGGCCTAATATGTGTTACGAAACTCTCCTCAGTATTCATTATTTTCTACTGCGCATGCAGATCTGGGCATGCGTACTTCAACAGGCTGATTCCATTCCCTGGATTATTTGAAGATACTTCCGCTTGTGCACGCATCAACCGACTGTGTATCTTTCTTTTGGTAGTTATCAGTGCACGAAAGAAAAACTTTATTAGTTCATTACACCTGCAAGGCTGTATGTACACAACCACCAACGCACATCATCTACTGACCAGCCTTGTGCTTAGCAGAAGCCGGCCATCAGCCCTTGGCAAAAAAAAAAAAAAGTCTCATCAGTCAATGGACCTTTCCACAGCACTGTGCCTTCCCCTGATGGATCGGCGCTGGAGCATTATGGGAGAGCAGAACACCGGTGGTCAGAGCAGACGACGCTTTCCCGCTTTCGCCTGCTTTCATCACGCGCCATGAGTGGTATTGGCGGGTGTAAGGAGCTGCTATTGTGCAGAAACGCTTCTTCTGATCGCTGTGACTTTCATTCACGCATACTAGACTGTGTTGTTTGTCGCAAATAACCCGTAACATGGCTGAACATGCCGAATAAGGAAAGCGGCGGACACACTTGCTCAATTCTGGGATTTGATAATACGTGAAAGTCACTGGACGTTTCATTCATTGCCTACCCGCCACGGAGGCCTCGTGGCTGAGGCACTCGGCTGCTAGCCCGCAGGTCGCGGGGTCGAATCCCAGCCGCGGTGGCCGCATTTCCGATGGCGGCGAAAATGCTTTAGGCCCCTGTGCTTAAATTTTTGGAGCTCTTCACTACGGCGTCACTCATAATTGCATGGTTGTTTTGGGACGTTAAACCCTAACACTTATATTATTCGTTCATTGCTTGGTGCTATTTAATGGCTTTGGTGTTTGTGGTGTGGTAGCTAAGTTGAACCTTTGTTATCTCTGTGCTCACTGTGATTACGGGGCTGTAATTCCGCACCTGCAGCTTACCCTGAAATTACTTACGCGAATTTATTAAGGCGAGAGACTTGGATCCCTCGTTAAACACTCTTATGATCCCTTATCTAGTACCTAAGATGATTTGATGGCGAAAGCTATCGTCTTTTTTTTTTCTCTCAGTTCATGTGCTGATCCTACCCCGCCAATCTATGAGAGTCAGCAAGATTATTCCGTGGTTGTTCACTCGTCTTGCATCGTGGCTGGGGGAGAGCACTGGTGTAGCTTGGGCGTGGGCAGGTGTGGCTTGAAGGGGGCCGGTGCCCCTTAAAAATCGGAGGCACTGCAAAACTGATTTTGCATTGCCTCTATTGATAAGACCACACTGCATTAAGCTCGGATGTCATGCAATGGCGTGATCACGTAAAGTCACGTGATGTTTTGATAACGTCACAATTTTGGCGATGTCTGACGTCCTATATGTTGTCATCACGTGATGTTTTTTTCTTAATCACTCGACGTCGCCGACGCGGGACGCAAACGGCCCAGTTTCACGTTTGATGAGGCATCTAATGTTTTTGCCTAAAACTAAAAATTACCGTTGGTGTCCAGCGTCCCGCGGCGTCGGCGTCAACAGGAGTGATGCAAAAATCATCGCGTGATGGCGTAACCACATCGCGTCATCGCGACATCACGGATCACCAGAATGTGTAAGGTCATCATGATGGTCTCATGAACACGTCATGAGACGACATCGTCACTTTGCACTGCTTCGTTATCGTGTGATCGGCCCACCAATCACGGAGGCCGAGCAGAACCAGGTGAAGTGCTGAAAGTTTGGAATGCCTCCTGTCATAAATCAGTGCAAAGCCACTTTAGGTGCAGAAAACATTCGCGGGAGGGGTGAGGGGAGGACCATTAAATTAGCTGAACAAAAAGAAGCAGACAGCTGTCGCCTTCACGTTGCCTTTGGTGAAAACCTAAAAAACCCCGCAAGTTTTTTTTTTTTTGCGCTGTTACGTATATATAGTGCTTATTTTGCTGTTTACTGCATGGTTATGTTCAATCCCATCTGCTTTTTATTGTTTATAAACCTAGAGGCCTCACCTATTTTCACTTCGCGCATCTCTTATTTTTTCTCTGTCAAGGCAAAGAGCGCTAGTTATAGTTTAATGATTTACAATACAAAAGCTACACTCGCCGTCAGTTTCTTTCACATTGTCAACTAATGTAAGCGCTGCTGTGGCCTTCTATACCTTTGCCACACTGAATGAGCCTTTAACCATTGGTTTTAATGTCATTATGACCATTAACAGCCTTCCACAGCAACGTTTTCTGGCTTAAACCATCTGTGCCCAGGTAGTTAGCACCGTAAGAGTGTTCATGCTTCGCAATTTTTTCTACTGATTACGCCTGAGGCGAGTTCTTCAGATGTTTTGTCCTTGACCCTCTTGGCAAAATTGACAGGAACGGTTGTATGCTTTGGGCAAATCTATACAAACGACAAATTATTAAATTAGCATAATCATAAACTGTACTGAAACAAGAGATTACTGGAGCTGAAACAGTAAGATAGAATGTTTGTTGAAATATGTGCCCTGACGCTCACTCCGTTGTATATTTCTTCCAATTGTTAACTAGTCACGACCTTTTGCGCCAACAGCTCCAAAATTCTTGAGTTAGTTTCCAACTCACAGTCGTGAAAACAGGAACTACGCAGAAACAGCAGGTTTTACGCTGTTTGAAAGCAAATACTGCATGCGAAGCATCCGCTCTATGGACGTGCTGGTAGCTGGTTTTAGCTATACTCTCAGCGTCCCAAGTGCAAACTTTCTCACACGCAGCATTTGGAAAAGGCAATGAGTATTCAGTTGGTATTCAATTCATTAGTATTCAATTGTACGTAATTGCAAATGAGTTATGCCGAACTCGCAAGGTGGTGGAAGGGTTAAGAAAGGAAAAAAAAGACACCCACCTGTTTATAGCACGAAGCCACAAGAAAATCTATACGGATTTCTCAACAAAAAATTCTCTTATATAGTCACCGAAAAAGTCATCTTAGCTCGGACCAGCACGACTTTTTCGGGGACTAAAAAGCTTTTCTTTCTGAGAAATTGGCAAGGATTTCCTTGTGGCTTCGTGCTACAAGTGGGTGGTTGTCTTCTTTCCCTTTATTAACCCTACTTCACGTGCGCTCCTGAATGCTTTTGAATGTGTGACTGCATATTTCGCATGCAAAATTCAAGGGAATTGGGGGACGGGGAGTGGATGGGTTATGACCCTCCACCCTCCCCCGGCTTCGCCAGTGTCGCGGAGAGAAAGCGAAAGAAACCATGCCAGCACAGGAAGCGTTTTCTCCTGACAGCTACGACCTAACGTTTTCGCCCATCAGCCTCGTACTATTTTTGGGGAGCGATGATAAAATTGCACATTCGGCAGTTCCCCACCGTGTTCTTGTAGCTATTATGGCATCCAAACTTGCAATAACATCAGACAGAAGTCCACTTTTTTCGCCACATATAGACGCTTTTACTGCAAGGGGTCATCGCCAATCTGCTGCGACCAGGCGCGGCTGTGCGTAGAGAACAGGAACATGTTGCCAGCAGTTGCCGCAGTGGCACTGCATGTACGCTTTGAAACACTAGAGCATGAGGCCTATGGGAAAAATAAAAAGAACTCAGGATCTTCACGTTAAAAATGGACAAGGCGGGTTTAGCAAGTCACATACCTTCTTTGCTACCTGCATCAATAATTTCTGTTAGCAACTCATTGCGTCTCAGAAAAAAGAAGTATAAACTTTTACAAAGCGACCCCGCCGCGGTGGTCTAGTGGCTAAGGTACTCGGCTGCTGACCCGCAGGTCGCGGGATCGAATCCCGGCAGCGACAGCTGCATTTTCGAGGGAGGCGGAAATGTTGTAGGCCTGTGTGCTCAGATTTGGGCGCACGTTAAACAACCCCAGGTGGTCGAAATTTCCAGAACCCTCCACTACGGCGTTTCTCATAATCGCATGGTGGTTTTGGGACGTTTAACCCCACAAATTAATCAATCAATTTTACAAAGCAAGTTTTTCAGGCTTTACAAGGTGCAAAGTGACTCACCGTTTGGTTACACAACTGCCATCTGCGCCCAAAACCGCCAAGTGAATAAGAATTAGATCTCTCAGTCCTGCAAAAAAAAAAACGTGTTATTGATAAAACTGTATTTTTGTCGCGTCAGGCCGTCATTTTTGTGCACAATACTTGACCTGTACACTAAGGAAGTAACATTCGCAAAATTGTCGCCTTGTGCGCGCTGGTTGGATATAGGGCAACCGTAAAAGTGAAAACCACATCTTGTCTTTTGTCATCGTGACGGAGCTCTACAGTGCTTCTAGCATGCGTGGAATAAAGAAACGCATCTAGCAAAGGTCGGTTTGAGGGGAAGTTTCGTATTTCAGTGACGTAGGTAGGAGATCCTAGTTTTGAACTTTTTGTTGATGTGCGAAGCATTTTTTACGCTGAAGCTATCCTTGAGCATTACCTGGGTGTATACAGTGAATGTTGTTTCGCGAGCACATGTTTAGTGTACTTCGAACGTGCCAGAAGCGTGAACAGCAAGTTTCGCGCATGGCTTATCGCGCGCCATGGTCGTCAGCTGCATGTTGAGATGGCGAGATGATGCCGCAGTGGCAGCACACTGCAGCTGAGTTCTTTGAGTAGGCCATGTTAAACATTCAAGAAAAATGCATTTCACAGTGTAACGTTCTCTTAATATTATGGCGTGCTTGAAACAACTGCACAAAAACGTTGAAAGCGCATTTGACGCGTCGTATATTTCAAGTAGCCACAGCGAAGCCATAATCCGGGCCATTGCGCAGAAGTCAGCATACGCAAACGCCACACTTGGGTCTCTTTGCGCTTGTGCAGTACGTTCAATCCTGTGTTACGAGACATTCGAATACCATCAGCCAGTGCAACAACGAGGTTGCCTGCAAGTAGGTGAATTTACTGTGCACATCAGATTCTATGCCACGAAAGGTGGCACTCGTCTTTTGCGATCGTTTCAGAATACGGGTCCCGGTAAACCAAGCGTTCAGCTACAACCCAGTCGCCATGTGCTCTGCACGCACTAAAAATAATGACGTAGTTTTTTTTCTTATTTGATTGAGAAACGCCACCCTCGCAAATCTTCCTATACTTCATCTCACAACTACCATTGAGCACTGCCAAAGCTACGAGAAGTAAACAGGCAGAATTCTTGTGCAGCACCTAATATATTTCCACGAGAAATTGTTTCATTAATAACAAACTAGAAATCAGTGCTTCTTTCACGACATGTTACTGCGATGCGTAGTATTTCAGGTCTTTGGCGCATGCATTCCGCCTTTTCTGAAATATTGCAGTCAGGTAATCGTAATAGTCACCCTAACAGTGATGACGTAAAGCAACATAGGAGCTTCCAGTTTGTCTGCTTCCATTCGAATTTCTACCTCTTACTGGCTCTCTACATGGAGAGCCAGAAATAAGTGGTATAACATGTCATTGCTCAGTCTCATCTAACGTTGAGGGCTAAGCATCGGATATCTTTTTTTTCTTTGATAGCTTGTTTGTATTGATGCTGGCAGGACTACCTAAGCGGTGCCGAGCGATTAAAGTGGTTCGCAATTAAGTGGGCAGATGGCAACACACATATTTTTACTGCGATATAGACTTGCCCTTCAGGCATAAATGCCAGGGATGCGTTGACGATGCAAAACATCCTGAATGCCTAATATATCGTTTTCTGTGCCATTATTTTGCAGTTGCAGGTCTCGACTGAATGGGAGGTGGCAGTAGTGGTGGTGGTGGTCGTACACATTTATTAAGCTAACGGAAAGGTTGGCAGGGCAACCAGCCCCTATTGGGTCAGCTTTTTTAGAGTACAAGGTGGAGTCTTTAGTCAGTGACCCCATTAGTCGTGGTCACTGTCCTGGCACGCCGGACTATGGCTGGTTGGACGGAAGGTCCTGGCAGCCGAGCAGGGCCGCTTCCCCGTCTTCTCTGTTTGAACTGGGGTTCCGAGATAAAGAATAATTGAGCTGGCATGCCCATACTATGTGTTAGGTGTCAGCCGCCTCCGCACAGTACTGAAAGGGTCCGATAAAAACTCAAAATGCCTAAGCACTGCCGGGCACAGCAGCGTATTGGGCAATAGAGGGAGAATTCACTCGTCCGCCTTCATGAGTTTTTTACAGAGTGCAGGAAAGCCGCGGGGGTAGGGGGAGTCTGCCACTGGCCAATTATCTTTCTAAAAACCAAGAGAGAAAAGTTCTCTTTTGGATCACAGGGATCATTTATGGGCGAGGCAGTGGTTTTGGGAAGGACTCAGTGAGTGGCACCATGCGCCGCCTCATTGCCTGCGAGGCCCTGATGGCCAGAAGTACAGATTAGTGAGCGGGGTGAGGGGCAACGTAGCCATAGAGAACCTTTTAACGAGGCCCTGGAGATTGGTGTCCCTAAACTCCAGATTCACAAGCACCACAAGGTGGAGACAACACTTCACAACCTCCATGAGGTTGGAGAACAGGTGGGCTGCATGGTCAGCCTAGTCTCCAACAAGCGGGGAGTTTTGAAGCAAGGATGCACTTCGTCTCGCACATGCTTTCGTCACTAGTCGCTTCTTGTATGTGACCGCGTGCATGGCTGCACTTATAGAGGCATGATGATCTTTTGGAAATTAAGCTCCGCAAAATCGTCAAGCAAGCCCTATATCTCCCGATCACTACTTCCAATGCAGAACTTGTTGCCTTGGGAAGTGGCAAACACTTGCCAAAAACTCCGGGAGGCTCACCTAATAAACTCATACATCCGCCTGGCTCCGACCCCGTTAGCCAGGCGACTCCTATAGATCGCCTACGTATTTGACATGCATTCTACTCACAGGAGTGGCTACGAGTGCCCGAACATTGAAGATACGCGATGTATGTTCGTCCCGTGAGTCACACGCCGGCCGTCGACAGCTCGGGCTTTTGCTCTCTGGCGCCAATACGGCTCTAAAGAAAACGTATTTTTTTGCATGGACATTACCAGCCCTTACCGCGGAAGTTGGCATACAGCCACCATAGTCCACGAAGACGGCAGGTGGACGGTCTCTCCATCCGCGCATTGAATGCTACTCATGCTTAAGAGGTAGCCGGTAGCTCTAGCTATCTCACACAACACTTATATCATACTTCAAAGGAGCCTGCCGAAATTTGCAACTGGAATGGATCTCGCCCACAGTTGCCAAAATTAGGTCTTGAATTGGTGGAGCATTCCATGTCAAACATCCGGCATGTTTCGAAAAAAGCAAGGTTAGTTGGTATTTGGTGCTGCCAAAAAACAAAAAAAGCTCGGTGAGAGATCCTGTAAGAACCCTGATTATAAAAAGAATCATGTTCCTCACAAACGCATTCGAACACGCCCTGTACAAATGTGTTTCGAAACATGAAAGAAACGGGGAGTTGGCGCATGGACACTAAATAAACAAAAAAAGATGTGTCCAGCTGTATGCATACGTTTTCTATTGAGGAACCCGTGACGCGTGGTTGGGAAGTTCAACCCTCACCTTCAGTCCTATACTCCATCCCACAACTACCATGCAGAACTGCCAAAGCTAAAAGGGTATGCAAGCATCCTCGTGCAGCACATAATACACTTCATGGGGAAACTGTTTCATTATCAATGACGTACAAGTCTATCATTATCAACGAGCTACGTTACCAAAAATGCCGGTCATGTAGCCTTCCTGGTAAGCCACGGCCAACAGTAAGTGAACGTTGTGGGCGTTGGCTGGGGCGAGCGCACGCAAACGCTCTTGAAAAAGGAGCACCCGTACGTTTCCTTGCGAGATTGAAAAGATGTGTTTTTTTCAAAGACGATAGTCTTTCTTGGGAACCTTCGAAAAAAAATTTGGTCTGTCTGTCTGTCTGTACATTTGTCTATATGTCTGCCCTAACGATACCTCAAACAGCACCAAAAGGCCAATTCCATCCACAGTGCCAAACCAATATTGCTCAAGGTTTAGCGTTCATAGTAGCGCAATTGTCAATTAAAAAAGCAAATATTGCGCATATCTGAGGTGCCATAACATGTCTATGATTTGTATGTCTGCCTTTAAACTAGAAGAGGCACAAACAGGTAACTCTACGGATTGTAGCGTTTAACGCGCTGCGCTGACAGTGCAACGCGATGCTCCAGGTGTTTTCAACGCTTTGCTACAACGGCTCGGTGGTGGCACCTGCCCGTCGCTTCCCATTGTACACCTTATGACCTCCGGGACTGGCGCGCATCTTTCTCCACGGTCGCGCACGCCTTCGTTTTCAAAGATAACTGCCAAATGACTCTCGTGTCTAACGTGCCTAGATGCGCTTTTTCGCTTCCGCTCCACGCTCGAGGCACTCTAACGCAGTGCCTCCAGAATACCATTCACCGATTTTCTTGCGCAGAACATCAAATAAACGTATTGTTCACTCTCTCCAGACGCAGGACTATCGTCTTTCGACGACATTTACACTGCAACATGTAGATTCGGGTCAATGTTTTGTTACGTTGAGGTCCTAATGTAATTGTACATTTCACGATAACTGTGATCACCAAGTCCTGTTGTGTGCTGCGGTGCAGATCAGTAACTCGGACTTCACTAAAATCACTTCAAGCACAACCACTTCAAAGTACAGTGCAGGTTGCTGCGACCGACAGTCACGCCGACCTTATTTGCCTCTCATACAGCGTTTAAGTCCTGCGCCCTCGTTGAAAGGCAGACCACTTGTTCGTTTCTGGCCTCATTCTGACATGTCAAAGAGCAAGTAAGATTAGCAAGACGAGTGTCAAAGCTCTGTAAAAGAAGATGTCTACCACTTGAGTGCAGAAGTTGGTGAAAAGCAAGTTTGGTCAATAGAACGACGTGCTTTCAATTAAGAATAGAAAAAGAGTGACGTCGAATGCAAAATCATTTTATGGACCCAGCTCTGCGAAGGAGGACCACGTTCAGCTTTCAAGCTTGGTGCAAGTGCAACGCTCTGTGTCTATCCGACAGTTCTTGTGTTTGTCTTCTGCGCTGTTTTTTCAACACGCGGATGCGCGCTCGCTTGCCTAATCTGACATTTTGGAACAACATCTAGCCTAGACGTTCGCACATTTCTTATATCAGTAATGGTGTTAAATGGTAAGGAGAGAAGTTTGAACATTGTGGCATTTAAAAATGGCACCTACTAGTGCAATGTGACGTAGCAGTAGACCATATCAGCAATTACATGCGTGGAAAATATCCCACATCTGGCTATCTTATTTCGAAGAACAGAAAGTAATCAAGCATCCCTAAAAAGCCTATGATGAAGCTATAAATGCAGTTGACAAAATATGGAGCATTCAAAGAACTCGGAACATATACGAACAGCTTTGCACCACTTTTGTGCCCAGCTGAAGAAAAAAAGTTATCATTCAGTATTGTTTTACTTCTAAGGTGAGTTATGGGCACACGATCCTATATTCTTATGTGCGTACTACTGTAGTTCACGGTATTTTACACACCCCGCCACGGTGGTCTAGTGGCTATAAGGTAGTCGGCTGCTTACCCGCAGGTCACGGGATCAAATTCCGGCTGCTCAGCTGTGTTTTTGATGGGGTGAAAATGCTGCAAGCCCGTGTACTCAGATTTGGGTGCACGTTAAAGAACCCCATGTGGTCGTAATTTTCGGAGCCCGTCCACTATACGGCGTCTCTCATAATCATATGGTTGTTTTGGGACGTTAAACTCAACATATCAATCATCAACCAATGACCGTTTGCACGGCATCTATAGGCAACACTCTTTTGATTTCTTAATGCAGCAAAAGCTCTATGAGACCAGAATACGGGTCACGCACAGTGCCGTATTTGTCCACCACCGCCGGTGTTCGTAACCAGTATCGCAAGAAAGGAAAAAAACGCCAGGTCTGCGCGGAAGGTGCAACACAGTCACAGCGAAAGCTATACGCCTTCCAGAGCCTTTTCAAAACATTCATTGGGGAACAACTGCAAGAACACTTGCTTGATACCCACTAGGGCAATTATAATAAACTTTTCGGTAGTAGGCAGGCATTCGCTATGCTATTTTTTGTCATTCATCTGAGAGGCCTGGTATGTCCGCTTAACACTTGCAAGGAATTTCGTGTCAATTGTTCGTGCAGTGGCCGACGATGATGAGTAATTATGGCTGAAGTGGGTATGCGCTACAGTTAATATGGGAACAAGAACAAGCTTTTGTAATGGGCTGAAGCATTGGACGGCCCACTCGTTGCAATAGTCGCACTGTGCAAAGACTGGTTGTTCTTTCGTTCTTTTAAAACGCTTTGTAAGTCGTATTAACATGATTGCTTTCACGGCCTCACGGCATCAAGCCTGCCTTAGGCAAGTTTGCCAAATAGTCACAAGCAGTGGTGTGGCTCAGTCCCCCATGAAGCTTGAAAAAGAAACTTTTAACATTGGGTGGTGTCCACATGTTTCATACGGTAACCTTGCCAGTGAAAACGTGCCCTGAAGAGAGGGATGTTTGTACCATGGGGAAGCAGCTAGCTCCTTTGTAACACACCTGAGACCATTGAACATGTATTTGTTGATTGTAAGAATGTCATTTTCTTTTGGGACATTTTACAGAGGAACTTTAAAAAAAGATTTACCTTTCACTCCAAATGGAATCCGTTTCTTTCCTTGATATTGCTCAGTGCAACGTTTGGACGTTATTTTCTCACTTAGTCTTCATTCGGTTTGGCGTAGTACGTTATCGTACAGACGCTGTGATGTAAGAGTTCTATCTCTTCAGGAGTGTTTCGTGGAAGCTGTTATCAAAGTGCGAGATGTGTACAGAACTACCGACTGTGTTGAAGAGGACCTATGGATGTCCGCAGTTAGAACCTCTACAGTCCACCGCTCTGCCAACTGAGCTAGTGTGTTGAAGATGTAATCTGCAACACATAAGATCTTTGTTTCATGCGTTAACACACATGAAACGCGTGTGATGTGTGATTGTCAGATTAACTTTGCCTGTAGTCAAGAAGGCAAAAAAGAAAAAAGATGGTGTGGCTCAGTGTTAGAATAATAGGCTAGCACCCAGCGAACCCGGGTTCGAGCCTTACTGTGTCAATTGTGCTAGTTTTTTTTTTCGCGAGATGTGGTCACGGACCCCGGCGGGGGCGTCCGACAATTGCGCGGGACCCGAGTTGTGATCTATAAAATAGCTTTCGCTGTAAAAAAAACAAACTCAGTAAACAGCAAGGACCCAATGTGATTCAAACCGGGGTCTGCTATATGACATCCCAGTATTCTACCACTGGGCCACACCGCTGCTTCGAAATCCTCTCGAAACTTAGGCAGGCTTGATGTCAATTGGGAAAGGAATCGCAAAAATATGAGTAATAAAGCGTTTTAGGACATCAAAGGAACGACCAGGCGTCACACAATGCGAATTGCTTAACGAGTGGGTCGTCGAATGCTCCAGCTCGTATTCTTGATCACCTATTAACTGTGGCGCATACCCATTTCCGGCATAATTCTTCATAGTCGTCGGCCACTGCATAAAAAAATTGGACTAAATTTCTAGCAAGTGTGTAGTGGATACCATGCTTCTCCAAATAAGGACGTAGGAAGAAAAGTGAATGCTGGCCTACTACATGAAAATTACGATTTCTGGCGTAGTTGGTACCAAGCAACTATGATTTTAGCAGTTACCCAAATTGTGTTCCGGAAAGGCTCTGAAAGGCCACTCTTTTACCTTTCGCTGTGAATCTGCTGCACGTTCCGTGCAGGCCTTGAGTTTTTCTTTATTACTATTATTTGTGTTTTGTAGTTTTTTATTTTTATTATTGATTGTTTTCTTTGTTTTCTGCTTCGGTGGCGAAGGCTTCAGAAGAATTGAGGCGAGCAGCGTCACGTGGCTGTGGAGGCTGCTGGACGTGTTAGGCAATAGCAAAAAGACGCCAATTCAACGTTTCTTCTATGTTTAGGAACCCCCTTGTTGAGGATGCGTTCACTCGCGCACGACAGGAAGCTGTTTGATATATATATATATATATATATATATATATATATATATATATATATATATATATATATATATATATATATATATATATATATATATATATATATATATATATATATATATATATATATATATATATATGTTGTTACGTGTACGAGAGGGGTTTATTCAGGTCCGACGTAACGGTCGACTCGACGGTATACAGCAGTGAACGCGCAGCAGTGAGCTCTTGCCACCAACCGAACGTCCTCTTCTTCTGCCACCACCATGTTCCCCGCTACACAGGTGCACATACCTATATATATATATATATATATATATATATATATATATATATATATATATATATATATATATATATATATATATAACTGTGTGTCACACCTGTCCCGTTATTAGGGAGGTGATCGCCGGGCTAATTCCAAGAGCCGAAGTATCGGCCCTCCGAACCGCACCACGAAAGCGTGGACAATTTAGAAGTGGTCCTTTTTGGCGCGCCAGCAGACGCCGGCTGTGGCCCAAAGAACAAGTCAGAGCCGAGAGTTGATAAACAAACAAAAATTATATTCTCAACAATGGCAGATCGAAAACCATACACATAAATGCACACTCCACAATAGTTACATACAATACGTCACCAATCAGACAACGTACTACACAGTACAATCAGCCACACCCAAAACAACGGACACAGACAACAATACGCACTACAATGCAGTCGCATGCATTGAACAACCAAGACACTTAAGGACTAAAGAGATAGAAAACCTATTCAGTCCAAAGTCCTTGGAACAAAAGTCTGAATGATACTCTTCCGAGAATCACTCACTCAAAGTCCAGCGTTGATGTCGTTCCGTAGTTCTCGGAGTTTCTCTTCCAGGAAACCTCGCGTCCTCAAATGGCCACTCTCCAAGCTTCAAACTTCTTCGCCGGAAATCCGTCGGCTTCACACACGCAGCTGTTGCCCGCGTCTTCGCTCGATAGCGGTAAACCCACGCTCTTGCCTGTAGCTCGAGCCTTCACCCACTGGTGCAAATCCTCTTCATCTCCGGCTTCGTCCCTACGGACCAAAACCCTTCGCCAACTACACGGCGGAATCCCTACGCGCTCTGGCGTTAACTTCCGTCACCTCCTGATTTCTCGTCTCGGCTGCTCGGTTAAATACCTTGCGCGCGACTTTCCAGATGTTTCTCGTCATTTCGTCGGCGCGATACGCAGCGAAGGCTGGGGAGAGGCACGAGACGGTTCGACTGCCCTCTCCGGAGGATGATTCACTCGGTCTGACCCCGCCTCCTTCGTTCTAGAAAAATCGCGGCCTTGCTGGGCCGCCGATGTGGGGTGAGGAGGATCGTCTGCGAAGCCGTGCTTCTGCAGGGAGAGCGCGCGCCCGGGAGCCCTGGATGTTTGCTTTCTTTTTTTTTCTTTTTACCTCGCGGCGTTTCTGCCGCCCGTTGTCGCAAGGATTTGGCGGCGCGCTCTTTTTTTTAGCGCTCGTTCTGTGACACTGCCCCCCACTTTAAGAATATTATCTCATAATATTCAAAACCACACAAACGAGCGCGAACAGTCACCACACATTCTCACAGACTGTAACACAATCCGTCGCTCATGACACTTCACATTCACAATATATCACTCAATACAATCGTACATTGTAGTTCAATTCCACAACACATGAAATATAGCCACAGGTACATGCCTACAACACTTCATCACACATTCTAAACAATACAAACGCACAAAGTTTTGTCTATACAACAATTATACAACACTATACATCACATCATCGCACAGAACACTGACTCACTCGACATACACTTGAGACACAGGATAACAAGAACATTAACTCAACATATGTCACTCAGCCCTGCCCAACACATTCTGATTCGACCTCAGCACTTATCCTGAATACTTCGAACAGCGCTTGCGCCCCTTTTTGCGGTGCTCGCTCAATCTCTTCTTGTGTTTCCACGTTCCCTTTCGGCAAGCCCTTTCCAACGACGATATCTGAGGCGTCGTCTCAGCCATCGTTGTCTCTTCCGACACCATTAACGCGTCATTACATTCGACGGGTCCTGTCTGTTTATTTACCCGCTTGATCATGCCTCTACTTTTTGCCCGGCTGGCCAACTCCGTCTCCTTTACACTGTCGGTCGGTTGAGGTCGTGCCGACGTAAGTCCGGTTGCTCGGCCCGTGAACTTATTCGACACGATCGTCTTCTCCTTCGCTGTCTCTTGCGCCGCGGCTTCGCCTCGGGCTCTAGTGAGATCCGTCACGGGATGCTCCTCCACTGTATCTCGCGGCCGCTGTGTTGGCGAGGGCTCTAACTTCGGATCTTCTCCCAAACATTCTGGATCACTTGGCCCTCGCGCCCCGTCGATGTTTCCGATGACAAGGTCATACAGGGGGGTCGTCATGCATAACGCAGTAACCTTCCCGCTGAAGTACGGGGTTTCAACCTCAATTTCTGCTTCGGGAAGCATCCGGACCGTACGGTCAATTAGGCAAACCGGCTTCGTTCTGCCTGTCAACTCACTTTCCCGTACCAAATTTCTCCTCACGATAACCGTGGAGCTACCGGTGTCTCTTAGAACCGTAATCTTCTTGCCTGCAATCTTTCCAGGAAGCGTTGGCATTCCCTTCGTAACACCGGTTGGCTGTTTTGACATTACAGCCCCCACAATAGGAATTTTCTCCCCATTCTTCAACTCTACGAATCCATCAGTGACGGCATTATTATCAGATTTCGGTGCTGCTTGCACACAGGATACCTGGTGAGTTTGACTCACTCCGTTTCGACATGCGTCTGCTTTGTGCCCAGTCTGACCACACTTAAAACATTTCACTACCGTAGGGCTCGTAAAGATCGTTCGACAGTTTTTCGCGCGATGACCCACTCGGTTACACAGGAAACATGGCTGCATGCTCTCTGGTGCACGCTTCTTTTCTTCGGGAGCCAATTTCTTCGAATCATCGGGACAATCCTTCTTGACCTTGGCCAAATTAGTTCCACCTTGCGCTTCCAAGAATTGATCAGCCAATTCAAGCATTCCTTCAAGTGACTCAGCCTTCCTCTCTTTCAAATACAGCGACAGGCTTGGGTGGCAACTAGTAAGAAATTGTTCTCTAATTAGCAGCTCTCTAAGCTCATCGTACTCCTGCGCTGTCCCTGAAAGTTCAATCCATCTGTCGAAATAATGGCACAGTCGGGCGGCATACTGCGTAGCCGTCTCACCATCAGCTGGCTTTCCTGTCCGAAATCTGTCCCGGAATCCTTCCACGGTAAATCTAAATCGCTTCAGCAAAGCAGCTTTCACCTTTGCATAGTTGGCTGCATCGGTCGGCGTCAGCCTACCGTACACACTGAGCGCTTCACCACTCAAGCAGGTGCTCAAAGCAGTTGCCCATTGCTGTTCCGGCCAATTCTGGCTCCTCGCAATCGTCTCAAATCTGTGGAGGTACGCGTCTAGGTCGTCCTTCCTTTCATCAAACGCTACGAGCAGCTTGCTTGGGTTCAAGCGGAAGCCGTGATCTTCCCGTTCGCTGCTTTCAACTCTAGCTTGGACGGGAGTTTCACTTCGCTGTTGCAAACGGAGCCGCTCGAGTTCCATCTCGTGCTGCCGCTGCCGTTCCCTTTCCTCTCTTTCTTCTTTCGCCCTCTCAGCTGCCAGTCTTTCTTTCTCCAGCTCCAACTTCAATTGCAGCTCTCTTTCTTCTTTCAGCTG